ACTGAAGCCAGGAGCCAGGAGCTTCTTCCGGGTCTCCCATGTGGGTACAGGAGCCATCCTGGGCCTCCTGGGCCATCCTCCACTGCTCTCCTAGATCCATCAGCGGGGAGCTGCTGGATCAGAAGCAGAGCCCTGGGACTCGAACCAGCACCCACATGGGATGCCGGCATGACAGGCAGTGGCTTCACCTGCTATACCACAATGCTGGCCCCAGCTCTGTTATCTCTTTAACAAAGAGAAGTGTGAGAGTGAGCAGGCTCTGGGCCCACTATCAAGACAACAGTATAAGCTGTGGGCTGAACTATTTCCCCAAATCAAATGTTGAAGCCCTAACCCTATCCTGTAGCTCAGCACATGACAGTATTTGGAGATAAGTTCCCTAAAGAGCGGATTACATTAGCATGAGGTCATTAGGGTGGGCCCTAATTCAACCTGATCAATATCTTTATAAAGAGATTAGGAAGCACACAGACTGGAGGGACCACCCTGTGAGGACACAGGGATAAGGCACCCTCTGTAAGACAGAGAAGTCTCACAAGAAATCCTGGACTTCTGGCCTCCAGTACTTTAAGTTTGAGTCCTGGTGCTCCACTTCCCATCCAGCTCCCTGCTAACGTGCCTGGGAAAAGCATCGGAAGATGGCCCGAGTGCCTGGGCTCCTCTGCCCATGTGGAGACCTAAATGGAGTTCCTGGCTCCTGGTGGATGGAAGATCTCTGTGTGTCTCCCCTTTTCTCTCTGTAACTCTTTCAAATCAATAAATAAATCTCATTTAAAAAAAAAGAAAGAAGAGAAGTAGATGTCTATTGCTGGAGTCCCCAGCTGGTGGGTTTTGTTACGGATGACAGCCCGAGCTATATCAGTACATTTTCAGGTGGAAAAGAACAGCTGGTTTCTGGGTTCCCACAGGGTCTTCGGGATCGTCCTGAGAACAACAAAAGTGGGGAAGGCTTCCTCTGCCCTTGTTCAGCTGAAATTTTTAACTTCAGCAACCCTGTGATTTGTTTGTTTCAAAAGGCAGAGAAGGAGAGATCGCTCAATCTTCCATCCACTGGGTTCACTCACCAAACGCCTCCAACAGCCTGGACAGGACCAAGTCAAAGCTCTGAGCGCAATCTGGCGCTAGCAGTTGGGCGGCAGGGACCCAAGTACTTGAGCCATCAATCACTGCTGCCTCCCAGGGTGCACGTTAGCAGGAAACTTGATGGGAAGGAGAGAGACCTGGAACTAAGCACTCCAGGATGGGATGTGGGCAGGCCATGGGGTGATGTAACGGCTGTGCCAAACACCCACATCAAGTAAGGACTTTTTTTTTTTTTTTTTTGGTAGGGAGGTAAGTAGGTTTACTTGGGTGGCCTCCTGGAGGAAGGGGACTCTATAATCCTAAATAGGCTCTTTCTCCAAGTAATCATGTTTTGTCCTAAACCCATTAGTCCCTTAGAACTTGAGTTTAGATCCACCCTTTAAAATCTCAATCTAGGCTGGCGCCGCGGCTCACTAGGCTAATCCTCCGCCTTGCAGCGCCGGCACACTGGGTTCTAGTCCCTGTCGGGGCGCCGGATTCTGTCCCGGTTGCCCCTCTTCCAGGCCAGCTCTCTGCTGTGGCCAGGGAGTGCAGTGGAGGATGGCCCAAGTGCTTGGGCCCTGCACCCCACGGGAGACCAGGATAAGTACCTGGCTCCTGCCATCGGATCAGCGCGGTGCGCCGGCCGCAGCGCGCTGGCCGCGGCGGCCATTGGAGGATGAACCAACGGCAAAGGAAGACCTTTTTTTCTCTCTCTCTCTCTCACTGTCCACTCTGCCTGTCAAAAAAAGAAAAAAAAAAAAAAACCTCGATCTAATTTCTAGCCCTCCTCTGTCTTTCACTCTTTCTCCTCAGTGTTCTTCCTTCCTAACTTTCCTACTCTCAATACAGAAGAAAGAGAACTGCTGGGTAATTATTCTTGAAATATCTGAGAACCTTAACAAGGGACACAATCCAGGTAAACCGTACATAGCTAGAAGTTAAAGACTGATGCTTTAGCGGGGGCGGCGTTGTGGCCTAGCAAGTAAAGCCACTGCCTGCAACACTGGCATCCCATATGGATGCCAGTTCATGTCCCAGCTGTTCCACTTCCCGCCCAGTTTCCTACCTTTCAAATAAGAAAATATAAATTTATAAACTGACAACTGGATTTAGTGCCCTAATAACTTGAAAGAGCAGAGTACAGAAAGACTGCTTTGTGGGGCCGGCGCTGTGGCATAGCAAGTAAAGCTGCTGCCTGCAGTGCCAGCATCTCATGTGGGTGCCGGTTCAAGTCTTGGCTGCTCCATTTCCAATCCAGCTCTCTGTTATGACCTGGGAGAACAGCAGAAGATGGCCTGGGAAAAGCATCAGAAATGGGAGACCTGGATGGAGCTTCTGGCTTTGGCCTGGCCCAGCACTGGCCGTCTGAGGAATTGAGCCATCAGATAGAAGAGCTCTATCACTTTCTCTGTCTCTCCCTTTTTCTCTGTAGTTCTTTCAAAATAAATAAATAAAATCTTAAAAATACTGAAGCTTAAGGGGCCAGTGTTGTGGCACTGCAGGCTGGTACACTTCACACCCAGTTCCCTGCTAATGTGCCTAGGAAAGCAACGAAGATGGCCCAAAAGCTTGAGCCCCTGCCACCTATGTGGGAAGCCCTTCCAGGCACCTGGCTTTGCACTGACCCAGCCCTGGCCATTGTGCCCATTTAGGGAGTGACCCAGAAGATGGAAGATCTCTGCGTCTAACTCTGCCTTTCAAATAAATAAATCCTTTAAAAAAAAAAAAAGTTGGAGCTTTAGAACCATTATATTAAACCAAAGATATATCACATGCGAGATGAAGGTTCAGTTCTGGCCTCCTGGCTTTGACCCAGCCCAGGCCTGACTGTTGTGGGCACCTGGGGGCATGAACCAATAAACAGAAAATCTTTCTGCATCTGTCGCTTTCAAATAAAAGTGACAAAAAGTGTGGACAGGCCAGGAAAACTCACACCTGCCCTACTTGGTCCCCTCTGGCATGCTTTCGTGCCTTACTCTTCTCTTGTCTTCCACTCCTAGGCCACAGCTGTGGTGGAAGAAGAGGCCTGGGCCTGGCCTGGTAGGCCAAAATACTCAGCAGAGGTGCCACCATTACGGCACGGCAGGTTGGCTAAGCTACCACCTGCAATACTGTATCCTATATATTATAATTATATAATTATATTATATAGGATATATAATCTTTATATTTTTAATGATATATTTATTTGAAAGGCAGAGTTAGAAAAAGATTCTCCATCTGCTGGTTCACTCCCCAAATGGCCCCAACAGCCAGAGCAGGGCTGATCCGAAGCCGGGAGCCAGGAGCTTCTTCTAGGCTTCTCATTTGGGCCATCTTCTCCTGCTTTTCCAGGCACATTAGCAGGGAGCTAGATTGGGAGTGGAGCAGCTGGGGCTCAAACTGGTGCCCATATGGGATGCTGGTGCCACTCAGGTCCCTATCACCCACACGGGAGACCTAGATTGAATTCCAGGCTTCGGTCTGGCCCAGCCCTGGTTGCTGTGGGTGTGCAGGGAGTGAACCAATGGATGGATGATCCCTCTCTGTCTCTGCCTTTCAAATGAAAAGAGAAAAGGGAAGAAAAGGAATAGAAATGTATACTAGGGGCAAAGCGGGTTAACGCCCTGGCCTGAGGCGCCGGCATCCCATATGGACGCCAGTTTGAGCCCCGGCTGCTCTACTTCCCATCCAGCTCTCAGCTATGGCCTGGGAAAGCAGTAGAAGATGGCCCAAGTCCTTGGGCCCCTGCACCTGTGTGGGAGACCTGGAAGAAGCTCCTGGCTCCTGGCTTTGGATTGGCGCAGCTCCAGCCGTTGAGGCCAATTAGGGAATGAACCAGAGGATGGAAGACCTGCCCCCTTCTCTCTCTTCCTCTGCCTCTCTGTAACTCTGCCTTTTGAATAAATAAATCTTAAAATTAAAAAAAATATATTAAAACAAAAAAATGTAAACTAAACGCTTACTGTGTATCAGCCAGACCCTGGGCATTTACTTTGAGGACCTCAGCTGGTTTCTGAACTCCAGGCTTCCTGTGCTCAGGCCTTGGGAAGAGTCTGCTGTCTCACCAGTGGCCCAGGTGTGGAAGTCAGGGCTGAGCCCCTGAGGCTTTCTCACCGGGATTACACACTGATTACACCGGGATTACAGCACTGGTGCGGTTCTAACTTTCATGCATCTGTGATGTGCACCCTTGGTCAGTAGGTGGTGCCACGACACCAGCCAAAGCACTCCACAGGGCACTGACAGCAGCTGCTGCCTCCAGCTGTGCCAACCCCCAGGTTTTTGTGGATGAAAGGAGAGTCTATTTGATAAAGAAGCCTTAGACTTTTAAGGAATATACACTAACTATGATAACAAAGACCACAGCAAGAGGGAAGGCAAAATAACACAGGATGGGGCCAGGCCTTTGGCGCGGTGACACTGGGACACCAGCATCCCACAACAGAGTTCTTGGCTAGATTCCCAGCCCTTCTGCCTCTGGCCAGTTTTCCTGCGGATGGACACCTTGCGAGACAGCAAATGACAGCCCAAGTACTTAGGTCCCTGCTGCCCTCGTGGAAGACCTACGCTGATTTCTGCACTCCTGGCTTCAATCTGATCCAGCCTTGTTTATTGTGCACGTTTGGGAAGTGAACCAGTGGAGGGAGGCATCTCTTTCAAATGAAGTGAATAAAAAATTTTTTTTAATGATTCAATATGGAAGTGGTTGAGAAACTGTCCTAAAAGGTAGGACAAGACCTGGCAAGTCCCTGGCAAGCCCCTGGCTGGGGCGCACGTGAGGACCACGGACGCAGAGAGCCCACCTGAGACACGTGGCCTGAGTCCATGGTAGAAGCTCTATCCAGAGGAGCAGGCCAAGGGAAAGTGCAGCCTGCAGCATCCCAAGGTCTGTTCTGTGGAGTAAGAGGCACTTGTGGTTACTGTAACTCAAGTGACCAATGTCAACTGACATATTATACTTGGTAAAATAAAGAGGGTATTTATTTTTTTAAAAAAATCTCAACAGTGCTTGGGGAAACGCAGCTTTGGGGTCCTACACTTCCTCATCACGGGGTCCGATTTCTTCCACTCTGCGGAAAGTTCTCCACCTTTCCAGAATGTCCCCCCAGCCGTTCCTAAGCTTAAGTGATCGGTGGCCTTTTCCTGAGGTCTCTGTCGCTTCTTCCAGCAGGTCTTTCCTTCGTGGATTATCTGTGGCTACTTCTGCACCACAAACGCAGAGTTGGGCGGCTGAGTTGGTTCTGTACGGAAAAGTGTGCAGACCCCTGCCCTGGAGACTAAAGGCAACTTAGGGAGCTGGCCCTCTCTGAAAAGGTCTTCAAAGAAAGAGACGCACGTACTTCGCCATTAGGATCGTACCGCTGCAACCTTCCAGGCGTGGGAGATCTCACGCTGCAGGCAGTAACTGCAGCACTCACCCACGTACTGCAGACGAGAGCCTCTCTCTGCTTTCAACAATCTCTCGCCCGGGATCCCTGACAAGTCTATGAAATCCAGCGGAGCAGTGTGTGTGCATGTATGTTCAGATGTACCCACACACACACGTGTGCAGACATGTTCAGACGTTTCTACACACACATGTGGATACACACGTGCATTCAGGAACTGTTCTGAAAGGAGAGACCATCAATCTTCATGTCCTCGGGCAAGGGCAGCAGCTGTGTGTTCCTGGTCGGCTCTGTGCTGAGAAACCCCGCCCCTGTACGTGCCTTCCTCTCATTCACAAGCAAGCTTGCTGTCGAAACTAGAGAGCCCGATGGCAAAGGCCTGAAGTGCACACAGCGGGTAGCTGTAGTCCAGTGTGAACACGTCGTCCTCCACACGGCCAAACTGCATGACTATGTAGTCGGCTAGAAACGAAAAGAAATGCGAATGTCAGACAATAATGTGGCTGCAGTGAGGAACAACCTAGAAAGATAGACAACACATTCAAACAGCCCTAGGTCTTTTTTTTTTTTTTTTTTTTTAAAGATTTATTTATTTGTCTGAAAGGCATAGTTACAGAGAGGCAGAGACAGGGAGCGAGGCTTTCCATCTGCTGGTTCACTTCCCAGATGGCAGCATCGGCTGGAGCTGCGCCTATCCATAGCCAGGAGCCAGGAGCTTCTTCCAGGTCTCCCACATGAGTGCAGGGGCCCAAGGACATGGGCCATCCTCTACTGCTTTCTCAGGCCATTCTCTACTGCTCTTCTCAGCTGAGGTCTGGATCAGAAGTGGTGCAGCCGGGACTCAAACCAGCGCCCATAGCGACAGCTTTACCAGCTATGCCACGGTGCCAGTCCCCAAGTCTTCTTAAAGTGGGAAACTTCTAAAGGCTGGAAGGAAGCATTGACAACTAAGTGTCTGCGGTGGGTGTTCAGCCTGCAATGAAGACAGCAGGTTAAGATGCCCACATCCTACACTGCAGTGCCTGGGTTTGACTCCTGCCTCTAGCTTTCCACCAGTGCAGAGCCTGGGAGCAACAGTGATGGCCCAAATAACTGGGTCCCTGCCACCCCTGTGGGAGACCTGCACTGTGTTCCCAGCTCCTGGTTCTGACTCAGTCCTAGCTGTTGGGGGCATCTGGGAAGTGAACCAGAGGATGGGGGAGTGATCTCTCGTAAATAAATCAGAAACAAAAACCTGGCATGGGTGTTGTGGTGCAGCAGGTTAACTCACCCCTTGGGATGCCCACATCCCGTATCAGAGCCCCTATTCTGGTCCCAGTTGCTCCACTTCTGTCTCAGCTCCCTGCTAACGCACCTGGCAAGGCAGCAGGTGATGGCTCAAGTACTTGAGTCCCTGTCACCCCTGTAGGAGACCTGGAAGGAGCTGTTGGCTCCTGACTTAGGCTTGGCCCAGCCCCAGCTCTTGTGGCCATTTGGGGAACGAATAAGCAGATGAAAGATCTTTTTCTCTCTTTCCTTCTTTTCTGTGTCACTCTGCCTTTCAAACAAATCAGTACATCTTTAAAAACAACAAAAAAAGCAAGGGTGTCTGCTAAGCACGAGCGAAGTTTCTATGATATTCCTCTCGCCTACAGAGAACGGCAGACCAACACTGGTAGCAAGAAAGGGCAGCAGGACGGAAGATCAAGAGCATTTCCTGGGAATAGCACGAGCTCCGTGGGCTGGAGTTACCACGGGGCCTTTATTAAGGATTATGTGAGTCTGCTTCCCAAACGGCCTGATGAAGACTCCTCTGCCTTGCCCTGGGAAGGCTCTCACACGTCTCTCCCTGCTTCAACATGGTGGTTTTGTTTTCCTCCGAAATATTTCTCAGACTGCTCGTGCATCTCGTGAGAGCACCCCCCACCCCCGGCCGCTGCCCCAGCCCTGTGGGCTTACGGTCATTCGCATGGACTATCTGGAAGTTCTTCACAGACGCCTGCGTGACCCGGCCGTGGAAGTTCAGGACGTAGGAGTGAGTGTCGTCGTTCCAGACGGGGGCCTTGTTGTGCAGCTCGATCAGGTTCTCCATGCTCTTGTTCTGCCATCTTGACAGCAAGCTCTCATGATCCTGTTCGAAGGAAACGTCATCACTTGGTGCTGAGAACCCTAAGAATTCATTCACTTTCAAGGTGGTGAGGAGGTAGGGGGTGCAGCAGGGAAGTGCCTTCTCCATTTCAGAAAAGGTAAAACAGACACAAGGAATGAAAGCCGAACGTTAAGTCAGAGGGGCTAAAACTGTGGGGCAGCAGGTTAAGCCACCACTTCCTTATCAGAATGCCAGCCTGAGTCCCAGGTACTCCTGCGTCTAATCCAGCTTCCTGCTAATGAACCTACAAAGGCAACAGGAAACGTCTCAAGTAGCTGGGCCCCTGCCATCCATGTGGGAGACTCGGATGGAGGCTTCTGGCTTTGGCCTGGACCAGACCTGGCTGTTGTGGCCATTTGGGGAGTGAACCAGTAGATCCCTCTCTCTTCTCTCGCTGTCACCCTGCCTTTCAAATAAATCAACCAATCTTGGAGCTGACGTTGCTGCGTAGTGGGTTAAGCCACTGCCAGAGATGTTGGCAGTGGTGCCCACTTGGGCACCAGATTAAGTCCCGGCTGCTTCACATCCAATCCAGCTCCCTGCTAATGCACCTGGGAAAGCAGCAGCAGATGGCCCAAGCCCCTGCACCCATAAGGGAGACCTGGAAGAAGCTTTGGGCTCTTGGCTTTGGCTTGGCCTAGTCCTGGCTGTTGCAGCCATTTAGGGAGTGAACCATGGAAGGTCCCTCTCTTTCTCTAACTCTACTTTTCAAAAAAATAAAAAATACTTAAAAAAAAAAAAAAAGCCACCACCTGCAGACATCCCATATGGACCCTGGTTAATGTCCCAGCTACTCCACTTCCAATCCAGCTGCCTGCTAATGCGCCTGGGAAAGCAGTGGAAAATGACCCAATTGCTTGGGCCCCTGCACCCACATGGGAGACCCAGAAGAAGCTCCTGGTTCCTGGCTTTGGCCAGGCCATTGTGGTCATTTGGGAAGCGAACCAGCGGATAGATTTCTCTGTCGCTCTGTAACTCTTTCAAATAAATAAGTGAATCTTCAATAAATAAATCTTTAAAAAAAATTTTTTTTTTTTTTGACAGGCAGAGTGGACAGTGAGAGAGAGAGACAGAGAGAAAGGCCTTCCTTTTGCTGTTGGTTCACCCTCCAATGGCCACCGTGGCCGGTGCACTGTGGCCGGCGCATCATGCTGATCCGAAGCCAGGAGCCAGGTGCTTCTCCTGGTCTCCTGTGCGGGTACAGGGCTCAAGCACTTGGGCCATCCTCCACTGCACTCCCGGGCCACAGCAGAGAGCTGGCCTGGAAGAGGGGCAACCGGGACAGAATCCGGCACCCCAACCGGGACTAGAACCCGGTGTGCCGGCGCTGCCTATTGAGCCCCGGCGCCAGCCTTTTTTTTAATTCTTATACATGAAGCAGCACTTGTTTTTTGCAGACAGAATGTTTTCAAGCCAACAACTTTGGCAGCGATTCTGCACCTGCACTCCTAAAGTTTCAGAGCCGGGCCTGTCTCCCAGGAGCCTCACTCCAGCGTGGGCTCTGGAAGATTCAGTGATTTGTCTGTGTTCATCTCTCCCATGTTGTAGCATCATCCCTTAGAGTCTTCTGATGATTACATGAGTTCTGTTCTTACATTTCGTGGCTGAAACGGGATTCGTTCATGATTCATATTCATCCCTGGAATGATCACAGACATTTTCCTGGGACCTTTAAATCCGAGTACGTTTGTCTCCTGGAAGACAGGAAAACAAGGCAGAACTTGGAAACAGGTAGTAAAAGGAGACCCCGTTCTGTAGTAGCACGAGTCTTTGCTGGGTGTATGGAATGTGGACAATGCCAAGAGCCCCAGAAATGATTTCATTACTTTGCTGTAGTTAAACTAAGAGACACAGAACAGAACACAGGAGCTTGACACTGTGCCTCGTTCTGAAGTGCGAGCACCTGCATTTGAAACCCATCCCACGGCTTGACGCTTTTCAAGATTCCACTTCAGTCTTAGGTGGAATTTGAGAGAACTGAGAACTACCCAACTTTGTCATTGTCAATAAGTATTTATTTCCCAATGAGGGCATGGGACACTATGATACAGTAAGAATCACAGTTTAAATGGGGTCTGTACCAGCAGTTAAAAATTCAAACGCTAGGGGCCAGTGTTGTGGCTTGGTGGGTTACACTACCACTTGTGACACCGGCAGCCCATATTGGAGTCCTGGTGTGAGTCCGAGATGCTCTGCTTCGAATCCAGCTCCCTGCTAATGCACCCAGGAAAGCAACAGAAGATGGCTCAAGAACTTGGGCCCCTACATGCATGTTTGAGACTAGGATGAAGTTTCTGGTTCCTGGCTTCAGCCTGTCCCAGACCTGGATGTTGTGGCTATTTGGGGCATGAACCAACAGATGGAAAAGATCTCTCGCAAATAAATAACACATTCTTTTAAAACATTCTAATTCAAGCCATGCAGTTTATAATAAATATATACCAGCATATTAAATAGATATGTGTGTCAGTACTCATATTACATATATGAAAGTTATCCAGGAAAATGCTTTATTCATACAAGTAATACATTAAATCAAATAGTTCTCAGGCACTTTGGAAAAAAAAATAAACTCCTAGGAATCAAATAATGAGATTAATTTCAAATTCAGGAAAACGGGGACTCTGGGATGGCAATAACTGAGTTGGGCCCATCCCTTTCGGCTTGGTTTTGCCCAACAGCTCTTCGAATGCTGGCTGTGCCCAGGTCCTGTGCTCGTGTGGATACAGCGGTCAGTGGTCTGCAGCGATTACTACTGGCAGGGAGGGTTCGTGCTGACAAGGAACTGGGAGTGTGCTGTGTGGGTCACAGAAGCCACGGGGACACAGGGGAGTGTGGTCAGGAGAGACTTCTCAGATGATGTCAGCAGGAGCCGATTAACCGAGGGGAGGGCAGGGGAGTAGGGAAGGGTCTCAGGTGAGGAAATATGGTGGACAAAGGAACTTCGGGGGTGGGGGGTGGCCCTCGTGGCTGGAACAAGAACGGGATGGGGTTGCCGGCAGGAGTCTGGAAGGAAAGCCTAATGTGTGAGGGCTTTCTTTATTCTGCACGTAATGGGCAGTATTAAAAAGCTGTGAAACAGGAGAGCAGGAGCCCTGTTTTAGGGAGCTTTGTCTGACAGCAATATAGAGTGATCCACAGAGGTAAAAGACAGCAAGAGATCACTTTTAGTGTCTTGTAAACTCCGGCCAAGGGACAGGAGGGAAGGAAGGTCTGAACTAAGTGGCACTAGGAAAAGGGAAGAGCAGATACGACAAGAAATATTGCAAGAGTGAAAAACAACTGAAGCTGGTTATTCGTAAGTAAAACTTGGGTGTATGCAAAAATGACGCCAGCAACAGAAAGGGGGAAGTCACAGAAGTAGCAGGGCTCTCAGCCAAGCTTTGGTGACGTGCCGTGCACAGCGGCAGCAGGACCGGCAGGAGGCTAAGGGGGACCGACCAGGATGGGAGCGGCACTTACGTAACAGACGGCCGCCAGCTCCTGCCGGGTGTGCACCTTCTCCACCAGACCCTGGGCCTTCACTGGGTTCACACCATGATCGTACACGGTAAACTTGGTCCCCATGAGGTTGGATCTGCAGTCGGGAGACAAAGCCCCCATGAGGATGACACACACACACACACACACACACACACTCCAGCAGAGGTGAGAAACAGAACGTAAGCCTGAATGCTCATCACCGCTTTTCCAAAGAGCTTTCATGAAGACGAGGAAGGGACTTGGATCTGTCTTTACTTTTCTTTAAGATGATCACATCAGTAAATGCTAACTGCAAACGGGACATGCACGGTTCTGAAGCTACAGAAGAAACCTCTGAGGAATGGGGCAGTTACACACGCTGCTCACCTGAGCTTGCCGATGTAACTTTCTCCTTCACGAGACAGATTTGTTGGGTCGGTGGAGATAAGGTAGTTGGATGTTTTGCTCTTTTTCCGCTTTCTACCTGCAAGAAGAAATATCTGGAAAAAAAAGAGAAAATGTTCAAAAATGAACCCCACGCTGTCCTATTCATTCAGCAGATAATTACAGCAAGCGCCCAATGTGTGCCAAGCCATCTTTGGGTCTTTCTCCCAAACGCTTCTCGGAATTCACCATGAATTCTTTCCTGTGTACTTCTACATACACTAGCTTGCTTCTCCCTGTAATTAACTGCAACTTTAACCCCAAACTCCCAACAACTTTTCCAAAATCTTCATCCGATGCCATGAATGAGTCTTCCCAACATTAGGAGAGACCGGATCCCGAGGGCCTGCCCACTCTCCGCTGTGGCAGCTTTACCAGCCTCCTTGCTTTTGTATTTTGTTGCTGCTTTACACCCGTGACTGCAAGGGAATGAACACTCTCACGCTGACACACCCGTCCTGAACTCTGCTAGAGCCTGGACGGTGGCAGCAGGAGCTCAGCAGGAGCTGAGCGGGCACATCTGGGCTCCGAGAGCAATGGGTTTGATTCTCACGCCACCCACTCAATGATCTGTAACTCCTAAATTACTCCCAAGCGCCAGCTGCCTCATCCACACGGCAAAGACAAGAAATCCTGCCCAACGAGCTTGTTTCAAGGATTCCGGTGATAATACATAAACACCTTCAGGGCAGGCCTGATACGCTGCACAACACCTGTCATCATCTCACTTCGAGGCTCTTAAAACCATCTACACAGATATAAAACACGTTGTTTATTAGCAAATATTAAATTGCCTCAGACTTGTAATTTCCAGGGTGAGAAAACAAGAAGACTTTTAACTTGCATGTCTGTCTACATTTCCAATTCTTCCTGTTCTCTAAAACCTCCTTCCACAACATCATGTTTTACCATAACAAAAAGAAAAAAAGAAGAAAAAAAAAACAACAGTAACTAGCAAAAACTAATGAGAGGGAGATAAAAATAATTTGATGAAAATAGTCTTGGGGGCCGGTGCTATGGCATATGGGCACCGGTTCTAGTCCTGGCTGCTCCACTTCCAATCCAGCTCTCTGCTATGGCCTGGGAAAGCACTGGAGGATGGCCCAAGTCCTTGGGCCCTGCACCCACGTGGGAGACCTGGAAGAAGCTCCTGGCTTTGGAGCTGCGCAGCTCCGGCCGTTGCAGCCAACTGGGGAGTGAACCAGCGGATGGAAGACCTCTCTCTCTCTCTCTCTGCCTCTCCTCTCTATGTAACTCTGACTTTCAAATAAATAAATATTATTTGATATTCCTAAATGATGGATAAAACCTTTTTGGGGGGCTGGGGGTGTAGACGGTAGATCTTGCCTGTTAGACTAGGAGCTCGTTGAAGATGACGAGAGCACAGCATCTGGGGAGGAGGAAATACAAGCTACTTCCGACTGGCCTGGTCCAACGCCAGCGTTACTTCCATCGCAAGGCCCACCAGCAATCTCTTCCCCTGCATTCTTCTCCCCTCTCAAGTCGTCTTAGCAATCGATTTGCGTACCTTCTGATTTTCGTCTTTTTCCAAGAACATGTAGTAGGTGGGGAAGAGACCCTGGTCCATTCCTCGCTTGTACCTCGTTATCCGACACTTCACTGTGACGCCCCGCGGGGCAGGACTGTACGCGAAGTCCTCCAGGTTCTCCACCTCTCCCAGCTGGTTGTCCGGCCGCGGGGCGGTGGTTCCGGTGGCCCCTGTATCCTGAAAGGACGGGCACCCGTGAGCAAAGGGAGGCTGGGCCGGGGGACCTCACAGCCGCGGTGGCCAACACCGAATGGCCAAAAACACCGACTGGTTTGCTCCATGTCTTCATGCTTCTCACAAAATGAGAAGGAATTCTAAAAAGCTCAACAAAGACCAGGCCATTGGGAGTAATGAAGGAGCAAGTAAGAAGAAAGGAATACAGCCTCGGAAGAACTGACCTGAGACAGGATTAGGTCATACACTTGAAGTCTACATTTGAGCTTAAATGTTTTTGAAGTTATGGATTACTGAAGTGGTGAGCTACTCAATTACCCTATTTAGCAGTGGTATTAAAACAGTGAAGATACATCTGGGAGCCAGATTAGTTCCAAAAAAGGAAGTCTCAGAACTACATACTGTGGTCGATTTCTGGCTAGATGCAGAATTGGGTCTTCCTGTTTCTGAATGTGGGGAATGGGAACTTAATTTTTTCCCATCTTCTTCCTCACCATCCGTCTCTTCCTCATCAAAGTTCAAACTGCTCGAGATGCCTGGCAGGAGAAAGCAGGCAGGAAAAAAAGGTCACTAATGGTCGATATTAGTTGGAAAAAGGAAACCGTTGGGAGGGCCGCAGGTGGCAGCCCAGGTGTTTGGGCCTCAGCCACCCATTTGGGAGACCCGGATGAAGGCCCTGGCTCCTGGCTTCAGCCTGGCCCAGCCCTGACCGCTGCGGGCATTTGAGCAGTGATCATCACCAGTCCTCACCGTGTTTTTGGAGAATCTCCTGAAGACCAGGCTTGGAAACGGTATCCACAGTGCCCTCCCCTCCAGCACTGTCCTCAGTCTCCTCTTCCGTGGTGGCAGAGCCTACGGAGAGAACATGAACTTTGGTTTCCTGATCTTGAGCGTCTGGCTTCAGGGAGGCAGCTGGACCGTCAATGCCTAAGAGCGAGAAGGAAAGAGAAGCAGCAAGGATTACCCACTCGTGAGCTGCAGGGTTTCAGCGTGCGCGCCCAGAACTCACTTCTACCTTAAAACCTACAAGTGCATTTGTTAAGAGAGCAGCCCAGCACTGGTGTGCGTTTTATTAACAAGCACGCTCTGGGAGTGAAGGAACCTGGACCTGATGCTTTCTGGGCCCACAGCTCCGGGGGCTGTTAGAGGCGGTGAATGCCCTGCCTTCTCCCCGTTTCACAGGATCCTCAGAGCCGTCTGCTGGGAGCAGGGAGGCTCCCGCCCTACTCCTGCATCACAGTTCATTAACCTCTGCCACCACGTGACAATCAAGCTGCAAGCTGCTCCAGTACGCCTTTCTAGACTAGCATGTTTGGCATCTGAAAACAACTATTCTAGGATGGACGTGAACTTTTAAAGCATCTTCCGCTGACCAGACCACGGCTTTTATTTTCTACTCAAGGACCCACAATGCAATTATACAGAGGAAGGTGCCGAGGAACAACGCTAACGCGGTTCCTCTGGTCCTCCTGAGAACCCTCTCACCTTCTCCTGTGGTTTACGAAAACTGCACCCCAGCAGGAAGTGACGCTGCCTCAATACACACCGTGCAGGATGACATCGCTGTGAAGGGTACAAGGTTCCACCAAAGGAGTTTGGTCCTCACTACCCCTCGGCTTGGACCAACGCAGCCTGGCTTCTGGGTTTGGCTGCACCATGAGTGGCTCAAGGCGCTTTTTTCTCTGCTTCTTCTCCAGCAGCGCTCTCTAGAAAACAACGTGATGAGACAGCCAGGAGACCCGGCTGCGTTGAATATGCAGTGCTTGTTTCTCACTGATCCTCCCAAGAACTCATACACATGAGCTTCTCTTACTTCAGAGGTGAGAAAGCTGAGGCACAGAGAACAGGCTCATTCATTTCATCTGGAAAGCTCTGCTTAAAACCACACAATGCAATTTCTAGCCGAGCCGAGGTCACGAGTCGCGTCTACTGAAGAGCTATACAGCAATCACCCTGCTATGACCACAGCAGGAGCGCGGGTTCCAAACATAAACACAAACGCGGAGGAGCACCACCAGGCTGACTCCTCTGGCTGGCAGAAGGTGGATGGTGTGTTTTTCCAGTTTTCTGGTTTTCCAAATTTTCTTAGTTTTATAATCAGTAGAAAAAATTTATTAGCCTCTAAACCTCAGATTACTTTCAGGTTTTGATCAGCCAAAGAGCAGTAAGTTTTGCTTTCCTGTTCATCTTACGTAATTAGAAATCAGAAGTGGGCAGGTTCGGATGCTCGGGTCCCGTATCAGAGAGCCTGGGTTTGACCTCCACCTCCAGCTCCTGATTCCAGCTCCCTGCTAATGCAGACCTGGGGATGGCTCAAGTGACTGGGTTCCTGCCACCCACACAAAAGACCTGGCTGAGTCCCCAGTACTCCTGGCTTCAGCCCCACCAAGACATTCTGGGCTTTTGGGGAGATAACCAGTGGACGGGAGCCCTCCCTTCTTCCTCTCCCTTCTCGGTTCCTCACCACCAAATAAATGAAAAGGGCACAAGAGACGGCGACGATGATGATGATGATGAAGTCAACCCGATGGAGAGGAAGGTACTAGCCCATACACCAGTTTTAAACTTTGGCAAATAAGAACTAATAACACAGATAAGTTATTATAGATCTGAGATATCTCAGAATAGGCAAAATGTCAGGCCCCAAGCTAAAAATTAGAGCTATGATTAGAAACCAAAAGCTACAGCCTAATCCACTTTATTAACATATGTAAAGAAAAAGTGTTTTACAGAAAAGGAGTGATCTGCTCGTGGTCTAGAAAAGGGAGGCCACGGCACCGCGGCTCACTAGGCTAATCCTCTGCCTCTGGTGCCGGCACCCCGGGTTCTAGTCCTGGTTGGGGCGTCGGATTCTGTCCCGGTTGCTCCTCTTCCAGTCCAGCTCTCTGCTGTGGCCCGGGAAGGTAGTGAAGGATGGCCCAAGTCCTTGGGCCCTGCACCCCATGGGAGACCAGGAGAAGCACCTGGCTCCTGCCTTCGGATCAGCGAAGTGCGCCGGCCGCAGCACACCAGCTGCAGCGGCCATTGAGGGGGTGAACTAACGGAAAAAGGAAGACCTTTCTCTCTGTCTGTCTCTCTCATTGTCCACTCTGCCTGTCAAAAAAAAAAAAAAAAAAGAGGGAGGCCAAAGAGAATTTGCTGGAGTCGATGAGTCCAAGGAAAAGAAACACTGAACGTGGCAGACGAGAATACTGGATTCACTAGGAGAGCTAGCTTCCTTTATGCACGGGGAACTACATGAAGCTTCTTCATGACTCTGATGAAGAAACTTAATTCCTTGCTCATTAGTCAGCCTTATAATTTTCAACTTAACTGTTTAGGTGTCAAGAACAATAGCAATGGGGGCCAGTGCTGTGGTGCAGCGGGTTAATGCCCTGGCTTGAAGTGCCGGCATCCCATATGGGTGCCAGTTTGAGACCCAGCTGCTCCACTTAAGATCAAGCTCTCTGCTATGGCCTGGGAAAGCAGAAGATGGCCCAACCGGCGCTGTGGCGCACTAGGTTAATCCTCCACCTGTGGCGCCAGCATCCCATATGGGTGCAGGTTCTAGCCCTGGTTGCTTCTCTTCCAGTCCAGCTCTCTGGTGTGCCCTGGGAAAGCAGTGGAGGATGGCCCAAGTGCTTGGGCCCCTGCACGTGCATGAGAGACCAGGAGGAGGCATCTGGCTCCAGATTGGCGCAGCTCCACCCGTTGCAGCCACTTGAGGAGTGAACCAATTGAAGGAAGACCTCTCTCTCTCTCTGTCTCTCTCTGTCTCTCTCTCTCTCTGTCTGTGACTCTGCCTGTCAAATAAATAAATCTTTAAAAAAAAAAAAAAAGGAAGAAGATAGCCCAAGTCCTTGGGCCCCTGCACCCGCATGGGAGACCGGAAGAAGCTCCTGGATCCTGGCTTCGGATCAACAAGCTCTGGCTCTGCAACCAATTGGGGAGTGAATCATCAGATGGAAGACCTCTCTCTCTCTCTCTCTCCCTCTCCTCTCTCTGTGACCCTCTTTCAAATAAATAAATAAATAAATTAAAAAAAAAGAAGAAGGGTAAATAGAGAGAGATGAGGGCAACCACACCCACGGAGACTCTGCCACCACGTGGCATAAACGTTCTGTGTCCTATACATCCATGACTAAGCAGTAAAATGGCAGGACTCTGGAAAAATCTTTGTATTTTGTAGCCAGCTAAACTATCCACATACCCTGAAAATAAGAGTATCCAAGTGAAACCAGTAAAATTGGAAGCAAAGTATACTCAATGGGAAAGCATTTCAAGAAATGGTGTTGGGACAACTGGGTATCCACATGCAAAGGAATGAAGCTTTTACCCTCGTCTCATACCAAACACAGAAATAAACTAAAAATGGAACAGAGAACGTTTAAGAACTAAAACTACAAAACTTAGAAGAAACCAAAAGGAGCACGTCTTTTTGTAACCTTGGGTTAAGCAATGTTTTGTAAGGAACACATCAGGAGTGCAAATGACCAAAGGAAAAAACCAGATACTTAAAATTCTTATGCTGAAAATAATACCACTGAGAAAATAAAAAGTCCACAGAAAGGGAGAAAATATCCACAAATTATATTTGACAAGGAACTTGGATCCAGAATATGTAAAGTATACTCAGAACTTAACAAAAACACAATTCCAAAAATGGACAAAAGATTTGGATACACAAATCCTCAAAAGAGGATATATTAATGTTTACTAACCACAAAAAGAACTCAACATCATTAGTGATCAGGGAAATGCAAATCACAACTACAACAGGATACCACTCTCATACCCACTACAATGGGTATAAATCAAAGACAGACAAAACAAGGGTTAGAGCAGATGTGGAGAAACTGGAAACCAAACATTGGTGGTAGGAATGGAAAATGGTGCAGCCTTTTGGAAAACAGTCTGGTAGTTTCTTAAAATGTTAAACAGATTTCTCACATAACCTACTCCTAGGTGTATACCCAAGAGAAATGAGAACTTGTAGACAGATAGGCCTTATTTATAGTAACCACAAGTGGAAACAAATCAAATGTCCATCAACTGATAAATGGAATGCTATTTGACAATGAAAAGGAAAGAAGTTCAGACATAATTTACAGCAAGGATGAATCTTACGCTAACTCAAAGAAGCCTGACACAAAAGACCACATATTGTATGGTTCTATTTATATAAGATCCAAAAATTATCTGTGTTCTTTCCTTGGGTATATATTTATAATATGTGAATTATAGTTCAATAAATCTGTTTAAAAGCCTATAAAGGACAAAAATACCTCTGTGTAAACTCTCTGAAAATGAAGGACATTTTAAAACAACTTTACATATCTATTTGGGAAGTAGGGAGAACAGATAAAGAGCTCCTATCCACTGGTTCATTCCCCAAATGCCTGCAACAGCCAGGGCTGGGCTGGGGCTGGGCTGGCGCTGAAGCCAGGAGCCAGGAACTCAACCTAGATCTCCCTCGTGGATGGCAGAGACTCACTCACTTAAGCCATCACTGCTGCCCTCCCCGGGTCTGCATTAGCAGGAAACTGGAGTCAAGAGCCAGATACAGGAATTAAACCAAGCTACCCTGATAGGGCATGTGGGCAAATTAACCACTAAGCTCCCCAAATGCAGGATTTTTAAACATTAAGTTCTAAGATCATAATATCAGGAAATCATGACGATGTGAAATAAGCTTTGATCTCATCAACAGTCCTGTAACCTGGATGATGTTAGAACAAGTTAAGAGAAGGCAAGTGGTTTGTATGGAAATAAGGGAAAGTGGAAGCAAAGAGCAAGCTTCACCCCGTGTCTCCAGGGCCACCCTGGGCAAGCACAGTGACCTGGCTGGACAGTCATATCTCATTCCTTTGGTAGGTATATCCCTTCAGTAGAGGTAAACTAATTACACCACCAAACAACATGTTCACTCTGAAGATCATTTTTCCAACTCTACTTGCTCTGGTTTTGAGCGTACCAGGCTGCTTTCTGGCGGCAAACTTCGCCTAGACTTTTCTGTTGGGAACATGATGACCGTCTGATTCTGGTGTACTGTTCACAGGAAACTAATTCTCTCACTTAGAGTCATCACTTGGGAGCCTGACTAGCAAGAACCAGTTGTCCTGAGACTGATCGTCCTACGATGCTCACTACCAGTGGCTTTCAACCAAGAGACTGCTGTCACAGCAGAATTCCTGAGCTCGACCTAGGAACAGCAGGTGTCCGTTTCTCCAGCCTTTCTCACCTGCCCGAGCGCATCACTGTCACCGAGGGCAGTGCCCGTGACCCTCAGGCAGGCAGTCTGGCACGCTCTGCACGGCGAGGCTCCAGAATGAGCTGCAGTCTAGCCTATGCTCGAAGATCCTTTCTGACATCCTACTGTTTGATGCAGTCTCATCAAAGGAACGGAGGCCCCTGGAGTTTAAGGACTTTACCTAAAATCACACAGCTGACCAGTGGCAGAGCTGAAACTCGCAGCGTGGTGTTCTCCACGCATCACGTGGTGCAGTCTTTGTTGACTGGCACCATTCGAATGCCCAGCCTGCACATGGTGGAACCTCCCTTCCCATCTGCTGGGTACCTCCTTCTGATGATCAGGCAGCACTCAGGGCCCTGACAGTGTTCTCACACACCAACAGTTATACAACAGCCCAGAGAGATTTTTCTTTTGAAGTTTTAAAAATTCCTATAAAATATTATGTCTCACCATCTCTGCAGGAAACATTAGAAGTCAGTGACAGCCCCTGGCAAAGAACTGAGCCTATAAAGGCAGACAGATCTTTTATCAAACATCTCTTTTGCATTACTGGAATTGTTACCATATGCTTTTATTACCTATATAAAATCACATTAAAAGAATTTTATTTGAAAGGCAGGGTTACAGAGAGAGAGGGAAAGACACGGAGAAAGACCTTCCATCCACTAGTTCACTCCCCAAATGGCTGCCATCAGCCAGGGCTGGGCCAGGCTAAAACCAGGAGCCAGGAACTTCTTCCAGGTCTCCCACATGAGTGCAAGGGCCCAAGCACTTGGACCATCTTCCCCTGCTTTTCCCAGGCCATCAGCAGGGAGCTGGATCGGAAGTGAAACAGCTGAGACTTGAACTGGTGCCCGTAAGGGATGCCAGTGCTGCAGGCAGTGGCTTAACCCACTATGCCACAATACTGACCCCCAAAATCACAATTTAAAGAGATTTATGTGGGGGCTGGTACTCTGCAGCAGGTTAAGCCACTGCTTGCAACACTGGCTTCCTACACTGGAGTGCCGGTTTGAGCCCAGAAGACAAAGGGCTTAAGACAATTACTCTGACCTTTGTTGAGGAGGGTAAGTATTCATGTCTCTATGTATCAGAATCATTGCCACAGCTACAACAAATAGTTTCTTTCCAAGGTTTAGATGATTCCACCTTTAAGGTCATTTATTAGGCTAGAATTCCCATTCTTAATTCTACCAACAATGTAAAAATGACAAAACTTCAGAGATACTTTTGGTCACACATGGAATCTTAGACATCTTGGTTGTCAGTGATCCTACCTAAGTAGCCTATGGCTACAGAATGTCCTCAATTAGAAAACATTCATAAAGGGGCGGTCATTTGACACACTAGTTAAGACACCCCTTGGGAAATTCACATCCCAAATGAAGAGTACCTGAGTCCACATCCCAGCTCCATTCCCAATCCCAGCTTTCTGCTAATGTGCACCCTGGGAGGCAACACATGATGGCCCAAGTGCTGAGTCCCTTCTCCCATATGGGAGACCCAGACTGAAAGAGTTCCAGAGAGAGGGGGGAAAACAGAGAGAGAGAGAGAGAGCGAGCTTCCATCCACTGGTCCACTTCCCAAATGGTCATAATGGCTGGGGCTGGGCCAGGCTGAAGCCAGGAGCCTGGAGCTTCTTCCAGGCTCCCACATAAGTGCAGGGGCCCAAACACTTGGGCCATCTTCTGCTGCTTTTTCCAGGCATATTAGCAGGGACGTGGAGCGGCTAGGACTCATGTGGGATGCAGGTGCTGCAGGCCACGGCTTTACCCACTATGCCACCTTCCCTAAAATACTTTTTTTCATGATCTTTTAAAATAATCTTTGTAGGGGCCGTTGCCCTGGCTCACTTGCCTAATCCTCCGTCTGCAGCACCGGCATCCCATACGGGCACCGGGTTCTAGTCCTGGTGCTCCTCTTCCAGTCCAGCTCTCTGCTGTGGCTCAGGAGGGCAGAGGAGGCTAGCCCAAGTGCTTGGGCCCCTGCACCCGCATGGGAGACAAGGAAGAAGCACCTGGCTCCTGGCTTCAGGCCAGCACAGAACCAGCCATAGCGGCCATTTTGGGAGTGAACCAACGGAGGGAAGACCTCTCTACCTCTCACTGTCTATAACTCTACCTATCAAAATACATAATAATAATCTTTGTATGCATGGACTTCAAAAAATTTTTGTACCAAATAAACTTATCTTTTAATTACATTTTCTACAAATGGTTTGAAGCACCTGTGTATGAAAGCAATGGAAGTTGGGTATCGGTTCCAAGCTGCCCAATCATCATCACAGTGTGTACACACAAGGCTGTTCATTCATTCCTTCCTCCGTTCAAACATTTATTTTTTTTTTTTAAGATGTACTTAGTTGAAAGGGAGAGTGATAGATGGAGAGACCTATAGTCTACTTGTTCAATCCCCAAATGCCCACAACAGCCAGGGCTGGGCCAGGCCACAGTCAGGAGCCAGGGACTCCATCCAGGTCTTCCAGATGGGTGGCAGGATCCCAAGTACTTGGGCCGTCACCTGCTGCTTCCCAAGCACATTAGCTGGAAGTTAGATTGGAAGCATGGACTCAGACCAAGCACTGTGAACAATGTGGGCTGCAGGGGTCCCAAGGGGTGGCTGCACCCACGGAGCCACAATGCCCACCCCCATTCAAATATTTAATGAAGGATTACTACATGCCCAGTACCAGGAGCTTCTGATGTAATGGCCAGCAAAAACATACTTGGTTCATGTTCTTATGGGGCTTAGTCTACTGGAAGAAATAAATATGTTACTGTAAAAAAAATTTTTTTTAAATAAATAAATGTGTGACTAAATCCTAGGAGCAGCACTGAGAAGAAATTCATTCTGCAGGCAATGAAGTTTCTAAGCAGCAAGTTCAGATTTGCATTTCAGGATAACAGAAAAATCTTGTAGTTAAATAAAACTACAATGTAGGGAAGTACTTAAAGAAGCAGAACCAAGTCACTACATAGAAATACAATTCTTCTAATACTTAGCCAAGCCAAGGCCAGTTTCAATGCTGGCAACCTCAGAGCATTTTAGTCTTGCCAGGACCCAGAGCCTTGGTTCAGCAACGACTAACTCCTGACAATGCTTCCTGAGTGACCATCAGTCTTTTCCTTTCCAAGCCACTGCCCAGATTTGAGAGCAAAGACCCTTGGTACAGCAGCCGATGTTGCTGTCCACCTACCTCTCAAGAGGAGACTCACCTGATTGTCCAGTTTCAGCTGTCGAAGCCGCATAGTCTCGTCTTCAAAGGCACTGTTTAAAGACAAGAGAAAACAACAACGAAGTCGGTAAAGAGAAAGTCCCTTCAAGACCACGTCTGTTTCCTCCTTTCACATGTGCACTGCCTTGGGCTGTTCGTGACCCATCAGCCGAGCCTCAGACAAAGTCTCAGTTCTGGAGGCTGCCCCACGGACTGCGGCAGAACCTGCCACCCCTCACACCATTCTCTCTCCACACAGGCCCCTCAGGGTCTGAAATAGCCGAGCTAAGAAAAAGGCCAAGGAGCAGGGACTCCATATGCGTCAGGGTTTCCACTTGCTCTGTATCACAGACCAAGTCCTCGTTATGTTCCTACTGCAGAGTGAAGAATCCCATGTGCATCTATTCCTCAAGACAACCCTATGTGTTAGGAACCATTACTTTCATACTTTGAACACAAAGAAATTGAGACTTGGAGAGTTGTGTGTAAAGACCAGAGGGGCTGGTGCTGTGGCGTAGCAGGCTAAGCCTCTGCCTGTGGTACCAGCATCCCATATGGGTGCCTGTTCATGTCCTAGCTGCTCCTCTTCTGATCCAGCTCTCTGCTTATGGCCTGTGGAGGATGGCCCAACTGGTTGGGCCCCTGCATCTATGGGGAAGGCCTGGAAGAAACTCCTGGCTCCAGATCAGCCCAGCTCTGGCTGTTGAGGCCATTTGGGGAGTGAACCAGCAGATGGAAGATCTTTTTCTCTGTCTCTCCCTTGTCTGTAGCTCTGCCTCTCTAATAAAAAAAAAGTCTTTTAAAAAGACTGAATAAAAGAAATGGACCCTAAACTCTCAGGGAAGACATACATCTGGCCTTGACTTTGTGGTGCCTACATTTCTCCCAGGTATGTTCCTAAGGTTTCTACATTTTCTATCTGCATGCACATATTTATTATTATATTACCGATATTACTGCTCTCCCTCTAGGGTACATCACACCTAAACATCAAATGTAATTTGCTCCTTTTCTGAGTTAGGTCTAGGTGAGGGAAAGTTAAGACTGTGTAGAGCATCTTACTGACATCCTTAATATCTGCGCAAGTTGGGGCCGGCGCTGTGGCATAGCAGGTGAAGCCGCCGCCTACAGGGCCAGCATCCCATATGGATGCTGGTTCAAGACCCGGCTGCTCCGCTTCTGATTCAGCTCTCTGCTATGGCCTGGGAAAGCAGTGGGAGATGGCCCAAGTCTTTGGGCCCCTGTAACCACGTGGGAGACCCAGAAGAAGCTCCTGGCTTCTGGCTTTGGATCAGCACAGCTCCAGCCATTGTGGCCAGTTGGGGAGTGAACCAGTGGATGGAGAACCAACCTCCTTTCCTCCCTCCCTCCTTCCCTCTCTCTCTCTCTCTCTCCTTCTCTGTAACTCTTTCAAATAAATAAATATAAAAAAAATCTGGGCAAGTCGCCAAACTTGCTTTTCTAGTTTGCCATGAAGAACACTTACAATGCCCCTCACCAAAGAAGGCCATGGGATCAACTGACAAGATTCAGCATTGCTGGGAGACAGATTCGCTTGATGGAAACTGAATCGAACTGCTGCCTTCAGTTGGTAAAACAAACCCTTTTGAACATTCTTTCACTCTGTCTGAAGCCATTTCTATCCTCACACATTCCTGCTGGAGGATTCTGTGCTCTGACTCGGCATTCTTGGCTGGAGCGAAGTATGAGGCCAGGCAGAAGTGGCTCTCCGATAAGAAGACAAAGCCCATGACCACAAAGCACGCTGGTGCTCATCTGGGGCAAACTCTCAAGGCATTCCCCGGTGGCTAGATGGCTTAACCACTGCGAGGCTGCGCTGTGGATGGCTGCACAGCAACTTGGAATTTGCATACTAGTGGCCAAGACTCCTCCTGCCACAGAAGCAGCCAACAGGTCTAACAGTGCCTTAGCTATTCTGATGTGGAGGCCCCTTCGGATGTGCCCAATCCCCATCAATTCCCCCACACAACCTTTAAGTTTCAAGAACAAAACAAAACAGCATACTCAATAGGTTATCTCGGGCCGGTGCTGTGGCATAGCAGGTAAAGCCGCCGCCTGCAGTGCCGCCAGCATCACATATGGGCACCAGTTTGAGTTCCAGCTGCTCCTCTTTTGATCCAGCTCTCTGCTATGGCCTGGGAAAGCAGTAGAGGATGGCCCAAGTCCTTGGGGCCCTGCACCCACATGGGAAGACCCGGAGGAAGCTCCTGGCTACTGGCTTCAGATCGGTGCAGCTCCAGTCATTGTGGCCACTTGGGGAATGAACGAGCGGATGGAGGGCCTCTCTCTCGCTCGCTCACTCTCTCCTTCTCTCTTTATGTAAAACTCTTTCAAATAAATACATGAATCTTAAAAAAAAAAAAAAAAGTTATCTCTTTCTCCCAGCTCAAGAGAGGAGCAAACAGAAAAAATTCCCAGGGGAAATGTACCTTTGGCCTCAACTCTGTGGCCCCGACATTTCTCCTGGATATGTTCCTACATTTCCTTCATGTCTTATCCACAGTCATGTATCTAGCATTGTACTTTTGGTACTGAGTGGATAATCAGCACACATTTGAAAAAACTCTATCCAAAATGATTTAAGACAGGGGCTGGCATTGTGGCACAGCACATAAAGCCATCACCTGCAACACCAGCATCCCTTGGGTACTGGATTGAGTCCCGGCTGCTCCACTTCTAATCCAGCTCCCTGCTAATGGCCTGGGAAAGCAGAGGAAGATGACCCAAGTGTTTGGGTCCCTGCCACCCAGTGGGAGACCCAAATGACAGTCCTGGCTTGGGTGAGGCCCAGCACTGGCTCTTCTGGCTGTCTAGAGAGTGGATCAGCATACGGAAGATGTCTGTATCTCGCTCTCTCTCTATAACTCTGACTTTCAAATAAATATACAAATCCTTTAAAAATGACTTAAGACAAAAAAATTATGAACATTATATAAAGGAAGGGGAACTTGGAGGAAAAAATAAATCACCATTACAGTCTAGGATTTCCAAACAGCCGCTGCTTTTCCCCCAACTCACTCTGTTCTCAACAATAAGTTAAGATGCCTTTTGGCACAAAACACACATCACCCCCCCCCCCCCAAGTTCTAAAAACCTGACATACCACCACTAACATTCTCAAGCACTTCCCCTCGGGCCTCTCCCAGTGAGGAAAGCAGCTGTGATTTCAGCGCCTTCCAGACACCACTTAGCTCCTTTCATCAAGCCTGGACAAGCTGAGCAGACAATCCAAATGAGCAGGGTACAATCAAAGCTTTTTGACTTGAATGGAAGGGACATTAAGCAGGTGTTACACCTTTGTAACAGTCAGATACCTCCCATTCTCTGAAGGCCAGACTTCCCGAATTTTAGGTTGAAATTCTAACTTGGGAGAAATATGTTTTATGTACTTATATTTGATCTAAATTAATACTTCTAATCCGGAATATGATCTTATTAAATTTGTATTTTTCCCCTTCAATAGTCTGTTTTCCTTCATTTCAAACTAAGATAGTATAGGAAGCTTAGTTAGATTGACTAACCAAGACTGCAAAGTAAATCAACATAAAACAAAAATTTCTACAGAATAAAATGAACGGAATTGCTACTTTTCTTCCAATTTTTCTCATGGGAAAGTTCCTATTTGCTTGGTACATACATCTTGGAGGAACACAAGTTTCTAACAAGTGTAGCAGAACGCCATTCATCTGAGTTGTTATTCAGTTACAACCAAAGTCTAAATGGAAGAAACCAAGAAGCCTTTAGCAAAGCACAGATCACACTGACACAATGTTTTGCGAATGTGTCCCATCCCAGCCAACTTCGTTTGTGGACACCAAAATGTTGTCTGAATCTCCCTGCACTATTTAATTATTCATCTAAAAACTGCTGGGTAAAAGGATGACCCCGTTCACCACCTCATTATCTACATTTTCAAGAATCACTCAAGTCCCTATCAGTACTTAACTGGATTAAAAAAAAAAAAAAAACAACTGGGGGTAGGTATGGGCATTTCTGGACAGCAGGCTACACTACTGCTTGGGATGCTTGTATCCCATATTTGAGTGCTCGGTTAAGTCCTGGCTCCTTTCCTTCCAATCCAACTTCCTGCTAAAGCATTTGGGAAAGCTGTAAAGGATGGCCCAGGGCCTGAGCCCCTGTATCCACGTGGGAGATCCAGATGGAGTTCCTGGCTCTTGGTTCCAGCCTGGACAGTCCTGACTGCTGCAGCCATCTGGGGAGTGAACCAGCGGAAAAGGTAACTTGACAATGAAGAAACCGGGCAGACACAGCCTTAACCACATGATGGGATACATTAGCTGTGACAGGACAGACACCAAGAGCATCGTAACACCACGTTTGTAATACTCCTGCCAAACATGTTTACCGCGAATGTCTTTAGGAAGAAACAAGCCCAGACGGCAGGAAACTGTACCAACAATGGTCGGGACTCTAAACGTCAATACCAAGAAATATCAAAAGCAGAAACACTGAGGCCGGCATTGTGGTGCAGTGTGTAAAGCAGCCTCGGGCACGTCCAGCATCCCACATGGGCACTGGTTTGAGTCCCAGCTGCTTCACATGCCTGAACCAGAGGACGGAAGACCTCTCTTTCTCTTTCTGTAACTGTACCTTTTAAATAAATAAAGAACTCTTAAAAAAAAAAAAAAAGACTGAGGAATTAACTAAACATAATACAAAATCCTTGAATTCTAGACCAAAAGATCTATATAGTATTGTAATTTAGACAAGAGCATTATATTAATGTTAAGTCGCCATGTGTGACTAATCATATTGTGGTTATGAAAGAGAATGCCCTGGGGCAAGGCGTTTGGGCTCAGTAGGTTAAGCCTCGGTCTGTCTGTGATGCTGGCGTCCCACATCACAGCACCTGTTCACGTCCAATCCAGCTCCCTGCTAATGCACCTGGGAAGGCAACAGAAGATGGCCCAAGTGCCTCAACCCCTTCCACTCACATGGGAGACCCAGAGGGAGTTCCAGCCTCCTGGCTTCGGCCTGGCCCAGCCCCAACCATCAGCAATTTGGGGAGTGA